AATTTTCAAAAGCTTAAAGAAAAGATATTTCAATCCATTAAACAAGTGGACTGAAACAAAGATTTCTCTTTTCATAAGATTAACTTGTTTATTGAGATATAACAACTCCTTGATCATCAAACAGGTGATTCAGTTTTTTAAAAAATCAAACGAATTTGTCTCTATAAAAAGGCTAAACAAGTCTTACCTAATGACATATTTTCCAAAATATCCCAAATAGTGGACAACGAACAGTTTTGAAAAATTCCATAACTCCTAGAAAGTCGGTTTGAAAATCTCTACCTTGACCCACACCAAAACATAAAAGCTATTTTATATCTCGACTTCGATTAAACCTATGATCATGGCGAGATTGTAGAATGGGGCCTTACATATGCTGTAAAATATTTTAGAATATTTTGAAAAATATGCGCTAGGTAAGGCTTGCTTAGCATTTTCTTAGAGACAAATTCTTTTGGATTTTTCAAAAAACCGGATCACCTATTTGATAATCGAGGAATTGTGATATCTCAATAAAAGAGTTAATCTTATTAAAAGAGAAATCTTCGTTCCAATTCATTTGTTTAATGGATTGAAATATCTTTTCGTTGAGCTTTCGAAAATGATGACTCTAATTGGTTGTCAGGTGACAGAGTAAACTCATGTATTTTCGAAATTAGGTTTTATTGCCTAAGATATGGTTCTTCCATATCAGATCTAATTCTTCATAAATATTGAAAGGAATTTCAGGGTTTCTGAAAAAACTAGAAACTTGTTTAGTTTCTATAGGGAAATTTGGTGCAATTGTTTTTTTAATTCCAAAATTTTCTTGTAAGAAAGATTTTCTAGATTTTGGATACAAGCATATTAGTTATTTACTCGAAACCGTTCACTGCCCTCTTGGTTTAAGAGTGGGCGCTTTCCTTTGTCGACTGATCCTTGGTTAGGATTTCGCCTTTGTCCGTTGATGGATCCTTGGTTAGGATTTCGTCTTTTTCAATCGACGGATCTTTGGTTGGGATTTCGTCTTTGTCTATCCATCATCGCTGCTTAAAAAGTCAGCGAAGACATTGTTAGAACCTTTGAAGAACTCGACAGTAAAAGTATACATTTGTAAAAGATTTATCTATTATATGCGTCGAGGGTTTTCCTTCTGCTTTTTATTAGACAGAAAGTCATTGACAGCTTTATTATCTGTTTTAATAATAAAGTGTTTTGGCACTACGTATATGTGAAAGCTTTTTACTCCATGTATAACTGCCAGTAATTCTTTTTCGTAGATCATATAATTTCATTCGTTTAGTTTAAACTTACCGAAATTATGGCCACATACAAGCTCTGTTCCTTCAATATCAGCCTTTAAGACGGCTCCCCAGTTTTCATCTGAGGTGTCGGTCTTAAGGACTAGTTTTTCTCCTTGTTTAACCAAAGGAATATTTTTTAATTCTTCTTTGATACATTTGACAGTGTTTGAGTCATTCTCATTCCAAGATAATTCTTTATCTTTTTTCAATTTTTCCAAAAGAGGTCTCTCTTTTTAGAGAGGTTTGGAATAAAATTTCTCCCATAGTTAAGGATCCCTAAGAAGCTTTGTAGATGTTTTTTATCTACAAGCTCATCCGAAAAGTTCCTAATTTTGGAAATAATGTGTTCCTAAAGTCTTATACCTTTTGGTCTAGGACGATGTCTAAAAATTCGATTGAGGTTTTCTCAATCTCCATTTTCTTGGGATTTAAAATGATTTCATGCTTAAGAAATTTTCTAGAACGATTTTGAGATGATTTTGGTGTTCTTCTAGGTTTTTAGAAAACACTAAAATGTCATTTATATAAACAACAAAAAAATCTTTTAGGCTTGAAAAAATACCATCCATCCATCTCTGAATATCTGCGGTGCATTGCAGAGTCCGAATGGCATTACCTTCTACTGATAATGGATATATGGAGTACTGAAAGCAATAAGCTGTCTGGTTACTTCTATTAGCATGATTTGCCAGAATCTTGACTTACAGTCAAACTTACTAAAATACTTGGCTCCTTTCGTTTGATGTATTAATGCATCTTTTTTGGGTATAAAATATCCATCAAACTCAATATTTTCGTTAAGCCTTTGATAGTTGATCACCATCCTGGCTTTTCCTCTTTTTTCTTCCAAATGTTTGCGTACTATGAAGGCAGGACTAGAATGAGGACTTCTTGTGGGTTCAATCAAATCTTTTTCTAGTAACTCTTTTAATTGTATTGTGAATTCGTCTATATCTTTTTTGAGATAGACCATGGATTTTACTCTGATGATCTTATTTGGATCAAAGAGTCTGATACTGCATTATCTTGGACTTTTGGACCATAATTTCAAAGGGATTTCAGAGAAATTTTGATTCAAGCATTTTGTAAATCCAATGAGTAGCATCTAGCCCTTTCAAAAAGCTAATTTTGGTTTTGTGAAATTTTTATATGGTCTCTCCCCGCTTTTGAGGTGAGAATCCAAATTGGCATCTATATTTATGTTCCATAAGTATAAGTATCTCAACTTTATCTCCTTGTTGAGTTAAGTTATTTCATGCACAAAAGGAAAACAAAGTATCTTTGGGATAAGAAACGTTTTGTTTCCCAGCCAGTTTGAAATGTTTTAGGCTTTATACTCTATGAGAGTATTATTCCCATCGATGCCGGTTACATGCAATGGACTTTTCATTTGTTCCCATTTTTCTAATGGCAACGCCGTTGGGCAACAGGCACTGGTGGTAGCTCCTGTGTCAACCAAAACATCAAGGTGATATGGTTTATAACATTGAAAGTTAAATTCTCCGAAAACAAACAAAGATTTTTTCTTGTTTTGGTTGTGTGAGAAGATTATTTCTTCACCATCTTGAAATTCAATTTTTGAAAATAAAAGAGTTTTTTGAAGCTCTTCATTTCCCATTTTACTGGTGTTTCCAGTTTCAAAAGCGTGTGAAAGTCTAGGGAAAATTGGCATTGTGATGTTTATGAAGCCAATTGGTTTGTTGGCTAAAGATAGGTCTTGTGGTACAGGACTTCTCAGTGCATGACAGTTTGGTACTATATGACTCAAACTTTTAGTTAAAGTTCTTTGGTCAGAAAAATAAATATTTTTCCCATATGCTTGAAAAGTTACCGGGTGTAAATCTTGGTTGGAACATTCTTCTGAAAAGCTTTCAATCAACCAATTTCTGGGAATTTCCAAATCCTTCTAGTTGATTAACCGGGGTTGGATTTCGTTATCAAAATTTCATGGTTTGAAATTTTCGACAAACTTGTTATCAATATTTTTTGTTAAAGTTTTAGTTTCGCTGGTTAGTTCGTGGATGGCTTTCCACTCTATTGCAAGAACGAAACTATTGTTCTTCATACCAATGTTTTTTGTCTGAATTAAAATTCTCACACTATCCTGGATGTTTTTATCGTGCATAGAGATGAAATAATTTGGTTTTATTTTGAATCAAATTTTTCCAGTGACAAGATTTGATTGAATGCCTCATATTATTGCCTTAATAGGATCATTAAATCTTTTATCTAAGACAACGACAAGGATTGGTGTGTCAATTCCTTGCCTGAAGAGTGCAGTGATTTCAATCAAAATGATTCCTATGTGCATGTATCTCAATCTTGGAAATTTTTTGATAATTTTGGAAATCTTGTTTTTATCAAAATAGGAATTTCTTCAGATCCATTTTCAGTTGCTCTAGTAGTGGTGCTTCCACTGAAGTATTCAAAATGTCGGATATTCCATAATTGAAATTTCGACATCCTGTAGATTTCTTCCTTTTTGATACTTTTTAATTTCTCAATTTTTTCTTCGTCGATGAAGAATTCTTCTTGAATCACATCACCGAGTTTTATAATTTGTTCAAAAATCTCAGCGGTTTTGTCTGAGTTTTCTTCTCCATGCATCATGAAAACATATTTATCATCTTTCCCTGACTCACTATCAAATTCTGAGACTACTTCATATCAGGTGCTATGTGACCCTCTTCGTTGCAAATATAGCAACGACATGATTTTTTTGGTTTGTTGTTATTTTTCCTAACAACATACATTTTCTCTTTATTAAATTTCTTTTCCTTTTTCCACTTTTCTATCGAAATTTTTTCTTATTGAAAAATTTCTTCTTCTTTCTTTTTACTTCACAACCAAATTCTAAATTGTTTTTTAGAAGTTTAGTGCAGTTATTTATGCTAAGTCCTTTTTTACTTGCTTGGCTACCTTTACCTCAATGCAATGGTTTTTTCTGATAGTGAACACAAATCTGATCGTATTTTCAAGAGTATCTACTGATGTATTATAAGTAACATACTTGTCATAGTTTTCAATGCATATTTCATCCCATGGAAAAGATAATTTATTGCAAAACTATGTTTTCCAAAAGTCAGATTTGTTATCTAACAATTGGTACCATTTCTGAATCTTTTGGCAAAGGGTTCAAAACTTTGGATTTTGCAAAGTTTTAATTTTGTGAAAGAATAATCTGAGTTTTCTCTCAGATTTAGATCTGATGCAGTGCTACAAAATTCCTCTCTCAAAAGTTCTATGATTTCTTTCAAGAGTTCTTCTTTTTTCTTTTCAAAGAGTTTTTCTTTGACAATTTTTCCTTTTAGTGAATCCTCCCACTTTCGAAGGAATTGTAAAACGTCACCTTGCAGTGTGCCCGCAAGATAATCGAAAAATCTCTCAATAGGTCACTGAGAATTGTAAGGCATTTTTTGACCATCAATTTTCAAAATCTTCAAGTTTTCATAGATATGCTTGATCTACACTATTTTTTAAGCTTTACATTTTATTATTAAAGATAAAAATATATTTTAAAGCTATCACAAAGATTTCTTATATTGAGACCACATTTCTCGACACTATTCGAAAGTGCGCTTTATTTTAATTTTTAGAGCCTCGACTCTATACAAACCACACCCTTAATTAAATGAGTTAGTGCACGCATTGGTTTCACACTAGTAAGTCAGCCGTGATAACGCATTGGGAGAAAGGTCATGCCAAAAAATTGCTTACTCGAACAAATATCTCGTAGCAAATAAGAGCGGGGTGCCACTTCCCCACCACAGAAAGTTCCATTGACCATCCAAATAGGGTGACCTGGACAAAGAAAATAAAGCCCAATTCAACATTTGAACACAAGTAAATTTAAAAATAATGCCTTAAAAAAACCCCTCTAAAACATAGATTTGTCAGCTCAATCACAATAAAAAGGGCTGTAAACCTGGTATTGGTCCAGCCTAAACAAGGTCTCGGGAGGGGTAGGATGGAAACGATTCTTATCTTTGGCTTATGCACAAAGTGACCACTCGCAGGACTCGAACCCGTACTCTTGCACGGGCTACATGAGCCTTTTACCCTCACACCAAGTAGTGGCCAATAATTCTTCATATAATACAATTTGTAAAAAAATATACCATGCAAGGTTATGTCATGCATAATACTGAGTAACTCACGAAGTAGGACGAGGTGTGGGGTTAAGCCTCTCGAGACTTGAGATTCTTTCAGTCACATCGATTTTTTGCTCATTGGTTATTTTTCCAGCAACTAATGCTTTATAGCCTCCAGAATTCTGAAACTGAGACAAGGGAACAAGGAAGCAGCTACCATTATGAGCCATCTAAGGAATCACCAATCACTTCGACAGATAATTCTGGAGAAAAAATTTGGATAAATAGAATCCACAGTCTCTTTTTTTATTTAATGTTTGGCGAGAACTTGAACACAAAATAAATAACGGGAAAGCATTATGTAAAGACATCAGCCCTTTGTGGATTTCTATCCATGAATTTGCAGGAAACCATAAGAAACTGGGTGCTGGAACAAATAAGAAAAAAGAAAGTATCAAGGGATACAAATGTATTAGTTTTAAACCGCCAAGGGATTTAAATCTAGAGTTTGTCACAATTTTCATATCAACATGCTGAAATACCCTTTGCTGAAATATTGCAGTATTGTAGCTCAAGTGTTGGCCAGCGTCATAGGTTTTTATTAGGCTAGAAATTCAATGAAACTTGACCTGATTGGGAGAAATTAATGTCCCAAATTCGTTCAAACTGTGACTAAATGGATGAAAAATATAGAAATTGGGAAAATAAAGCCTGCGAATCTCGGATTTAATTTGAATTGCACAAAGTTCAAAAGTAAAAACAGAAATTTTCCACAATCAACCCATTCAGCTGGGCCAAACCAATCTTCTTTATTGAACCAGAAAGTACATGAAAGTTTTAACCACTTCTCGGCAATGTTCTTAAACTCCTTGGACTTCGGACTCGGGCCTAGTACAAGCCAAGTAACTCCGGCCGAGTAATGTGCTGGGTCCATAAAGCCCTACAAGCCTAAAAAGAAAATTCAAAAAATTGTTATTCATAATTTTGTACTTATTTTTGTGCATAAGGCTTGGACTCTCTCGAGCCATTCCCTTCTTCTTTCTTTCTTTTCTCCTGTCTTTTTTGTCTCCCTATTCTCTGTATTTCACTCTTATGGGATGCCGTCTTGTTTTATCGAGTGTAATAGTTAATTTTGTATATACAAAGTTAAATTCAGAAAATTGTGTAAAAATATAATTTTAAGAGTGCAACAAAAGCAAAAACGACATAAAAGTAAAATAAGCTGAAAAAAAATAGAGTTAGAAAAATATTTACGGACAAAAACATTTGAGAAAAATCCAAGAAACAAAAAAAGGAAAACACAAGAAGCAAAACTCACAAATCATTGTTAAAAAATCCAAGTTAGATATATAATTTTTATGCATTGATCTCACAAATATATATATATATATATTTTTATTTTTTTGCTAATATGCCCGAGCGGCACCCAGGTTCTTGGCTCGGCAAGGGGCAGAATCTACTCAGACTCGGTCAAGTAGTTAAACATTGCATTTTGCAGTATTGTTTAGATGTTTAAAGCACCCGATCCATACGCAAATTTCTATAAAGGGAATTATGCTAAAACTTTTGGAGAATCAAATCAATCCTCGTGGCTCATTCCATGTCAATTTCATTCAATTGCAGGACAAATGTGATACAAAAATCGAGGGTCTCACACTTTGACTCCAGACACAGGAGGAAAGCCCACTAGTTTAGCCAAGCAAATGGCATTCATATCAAAGACTAATAAAAAAGAAATCCATGAAACACTAAGGCTCATCCCAAAACTCACCGCAAGTATCAACGCTTCTTTAGCAGCGAGTCTCTCCATTTCCCTCATTTGAAAGGCAGGAGCTCCAACAGCTGGCTCTGCACCTGCCCAACTTCTCGCACTTATCCTCTTAGAACCGGTAGAAACCCTAAAATGGTAGATTCGGCCATTGTCTGGCTTCAAAGAGTTACAAACTCCAGTGAAAGAAGGGATTATATGGAGAATCGCAGCCATGGCGGAAAGCATAAAAAGAACAAATTTCAGAAAGGTTGTTGCCTCGCCATTACATAAAGCCTGTGAACACTGTACAATATTGGCGTTTCAAGGTGAAGGACAAACGGGTGGTCAGAACATGTTTTTAGAAAAAAAGCCTGCAAAATTGCATGGCTCTTCATAGTAGGCTACTTTTTGCACTCACGAATTAGTAGGCTCACCATTCCGTACAATTATATGGTGCTCTTTCCTTCGGAGATGGGGCTGTACAGGGTGAGTGTCTTTAACAAAAATAAAAACTAGGAAATACGGAATTTGATAGCGGGTATTATGTATGGGAAAATTATAAATACCTCCGATTTTAACTTTTTACGCATTAAATGCCGGAGGAGCATTGATATACTACAAGAGTTGTGTAATAGTATAATGTATCTAACACTTCCAAAAAAAATTATCTTCATCTTAATAATTAATCTTAAAAAAAAATAAAAAAACAAAAAAAATTGAACCCTAAATATGGTCAAAATGAGTCACCTCGGTAAACGAATCTTTGCTATTTATTTTGTGAATTTCAAGATCTTAGCCTTTAAAAATTCAAAATCATTTTTTTTTTTTTTTTACATTGTTTATCTAATGATAATAAAGCTATCAAAAAAATAAAAAATAAAAAAAATCATTCTAAAGCCTAGATCTAATCATCTCACCAAAAAAAACGACGTATGCTAATTAGGCTAAAAAAATACTTTCTAAGTTATATTTTCAATTTTTTCTTTCTTTGTCATTGTTAATTAGAATGAAAATATTGTATATTTCAAATTTTGGATCAAACAAACGGCTATAAAATGGTTTTTTAACCTTACTGCATCATATTACTATACAACGGTTATGTGATGTCATTATTCATCCCTGAGATACTTTTTTTACTCTACTTATCTACTCTAAACCCTTGTACTTTGAATCCGACACCTTTTTTTTTTTGTATTTACCATAAGGAAAATAAGCAGAAGTATTTTGAGATTAAAATGCTCTTTTTTCATTTCTTCTCTTTTTATCTTTTTAGACACGCGACTTTCATTTTCTCTCTATCCCTCTCGACCCATCCTCTCTTTCTCTCTCTACCCTCTCCTTCTCTCTACGTATTTTTTTCTCTCTGCCTTCCATTATTTCTCTCTCTACCACTTACACTCATATAATGCGATCCAATATAAAAACGTGTCAGACCGCATTGGATTTCAATAACTTTCATATGTCTATAATACAGTATGGTACAAAAATGTATTGAACCGCATCATGGGTATATGAGTGGTAAAAAGAAAAAGTGAAGGATGGTAGAGAGATAAATAGAGAGAGAGTGTAAGGGATAGAGGAGAGAAATATAGCTACAGAGAAACCGTGAAGGATGTTGGAAAGAGAAAGAGTAAGGGATGGTAGAGAGAAAGAGAGAGGACGGGTGAGAGTTTTTTTTGGTAACTAGAGTTAGAGTTTGAGAGAAAAATATAAAAAAAGTATGTTGAAAGGGGGAAGAAAGAAAAACAAAAAAAAAAAAAAAAGGTACTTTGGTCTTAAAATAATTATTTGAACGATAAATATAAAAAAAAAATAGTATTGAAGTTTAAGATGTAATAGAAAAAATATTACGGTAGAATGCATAGAAAGTTAAAATTAAAAATATCTGTAATTTTTTTATTATCTAAAATACATCATTTATTCTTTTACATGCAAGCCACATTTCAAAAATCAATTGGCTTGAGATAAGTGACAAAATACAAAAAAAATCATATGTGACAATACTATTCAATTATGTTACACAGAGAGAAAGAGAGAGGAGAGAGAATACTAAGAAATACCCATAAAAACACGTAGGTGAATGGGATTGGGATCGCGATGGTAGAAGTACATGTGTCCTAGTTAAGGTCTCACCCCACTAAATTACCAAACCCATTGACTTACCAAAAAACAAAAAACCGGTGCAGGACGCATATACGCTGATGGTGCGGTCCCTAATTAATGAGTCCAAAATTTGGCCACGAGAATGAATTTCATTGGGAAGATAAATCATGTATGGCATGCTCATCAAGATTGCACCGAAACAATTGGACCACCTCGATGCCTTGACCTTGACCAGTAGGTCAGAGTCTTGCGAGTTTTAACTGGTTGGACATACTGAACAATAATAGGCAAAAATTTTGTATTAAAATTCATATTTATTCATGATTTTTTTATTATTTTGTAATGAGTCGCTTTGCTCACTCTCAAAACTTCAAAAAATATCGAATTTAAGTGATTCATTTGAGGACCTTTCTTTATAAAATAATCAGCCTCAACATTAGCTTCTCCATTTATAAGTCTAACTTCTACTAATTTCTCTCCCAGTTCATCAAAAATTTCTTCAAATACCAGTTTAATTCGTTACGAAAAGTTGCTCTGCAACTAGTTCAATGAATCGCATTAGTTGAATCCCTTTCAATGATAAGAATCGTAAACTTTAGAGCTAAGATAGAGCTTTAGCACTATTCTCAAAATACTTGTGATATTCTAGATAAGTAGAACATAGTTCTTCTGTTTTCGTGGTCATGTGATACCACCAACTTGTTGACAGGCACTATAAAATTTTTGTCACATCCATTTCATGAATCGATGGAGTGATACCACCAACTCTTGTGAGTCTGAGATGCTTTTACTTTACTGAACTAGCATCCTAAGTTTAATTTACTCAAACAGGCGAGGGGACAACACGTGCTTAGTGTTGTATTTATTTTGTAGCAATTGATCTCAAATTCATGCGAAAGTCTGACCAGGACCCAACCTCGCTTTTAAAGTTCAGAAAACAATTTAAAAAAGGAAAAAAAATACCCAACCTTGCTTTTGCCCCTTATAAAATACAGGGTGCAGTGGGTAGGGCCGAGGCTCTAAACAATCAAAGCAAAGCGGACCTTCAAATAGTGTCAAGAACTATAGTTACTAGAAATCTTTGTGATAACCTTATCATGTAGTTTCATCTTTAAGTATAAAATTTAAAACTTCAAAAATAGTGAAGATCAAACAAATTTATGAAAATCTTGAAAATTGACCGTCCAAAATTATGTTACAGGATACACTATTTCCAAAACTTGAAATCCATTTTTTTTTCATGTTTATGTCGAGATGATCAATTTGAGGATATGTAGGCATCACAAACAACTTCTTCTAATGAAATTTTTGAGGTGGGCTCTAATTTGATTGTTTAGAGTCTCGTCTCTATATAAATATTTTCCATAATAAAGAGAGTTTCTTTTAGTAAGAGCATAAAAAAGGGTAGAGAGAAAGAGGGAATGCTTTTTAGGCAGATAGTTATAAGGAGGGTTGAATTTGCATCCACTTGGTCTTATGCAAACCCACTCCAAGGGAGTGAGAGGCCTCAGGGTCCACGTGCAAACCTTCTCCAACCAAACCACACCCACATATACTTTTTCACAACAAACAGAGAGGAAGGGGACACTCCCAACTGTTGCTGTACCAATTTTGCTTCAAAAATGCTGTGTATTATTCCCTTTCAATATATATTTTTCTACAGGAGTGTTTTGAACAATAGTGTTCTGTACAATAGAGAGAAGCTTAAAGCTTATTTTAACCCATATTGAAGAATTAAATACGGGAAGTGTTACTTAAATATATGACATCCTTTAATTTGTATTTTGAGAGCCTTAGGGAGAGAAGGCCTGTGTGGGGCATGTAAAGCATGCGAGGGTGTAAGGACACTTTGCACAGAGTCCTCAAGGGGCATGTTAAGGTGCAAGGCCACTTTGCATGGGGTGGGTCATCGAGGGGCAAATATTATTTTAATGTTCGTAATTTTCACTTATTAAGAGCAAATATTGTCTTGAGAGAGTGAATGAAATTTCACTAATTCTTATCATCCTTAGAAAAGAGAGATGAGCTTACAAGAAAAACGACATAAGGGTAAATTAGTCATTGAGTCTATCATTTTATGTCTTTCATTTATTTATTGAGTTTTTTTATTCGTTTTAAAGCATAAATAGTAATTCCTAGAGTCTTTTATGTCTTTTTATTTACTTAAAATCTTTTATAATAGAAGGGTCATGATTAGATTAGATGGATGGCCAGGATTAAGTTTTATTTTGGGCTTATGCAAGGGATGTACTCAAGCATAATGAGGGATTATATTATGTACTTCTATTCAAAATCCCAGAACAGCAAGTGCTCCTTCTTTTACCTCTAGTTTTTTAGTCTTTCTCTAAATATAGATCGTTCCTATCTTCTTCTTTGCTAAAACTCTAGCTCAAGCTACTAGGTCTTCACCAAGTTGGTATTACAACCTGATAATCAGTAAGAATTGTACTATGGCACGGTATTGTAGGGTCAAGCTTTGTACCCTAGATCAACAACCATACCTCCACATAGAAAAAAGTGGGAAAATGCAACCATTAAAGCCTTTGATGCTAATTCGTGAGAAGCGGTTGTAGATCTGAAGAGATTGGTCGAAACCCTAGCTCTACGTTAGGCATAAATCGAAGCCCCATCTCAAGAGTAAGAGATCCAGGTAGATGAAGAATCGTAAATCCCTTCCATGACCAAGCTCCAATGAGAGAAATGGATAGGGAGAGTGGGAGATGGGAAATCCATCTCAAGGTTGAGATCCTAGAATTTTATGGAAGTCTATCAGAAGATAACAATGGAAAAACTTTTTTTTCATCAAATGGTTTTCAAGATAGCATGTATAGGCTGGGACTCACCACTAGTATTTGACATGTACACAGATGAAGATTTGGGTGTTGCGAAAGAAGTGGGTGATCATAGCTTTAATGGTGATCCAACACATAAAGAGGATCAGGGAGAAATTCCTTCCATTTGGGAGAATTTGTAAATGCTCCTATTTTTGATGAAGAATAAGATGGATGTTACTGAGTTGTTCCCAAAATATTTGAGGGAACTAATTTCTTAGTCCCCGGATAAAGTAGCGAGGAGGATGGTGTTGACAAAGGTCTTCTTCGAGTTTTGCATAAACTTAGGGTGTCACATGATGTTCACACCAAAGAGTTCAAGGTATTTTCTCCTGAGGTCTCAACTGGTGAGTTTAATATAGATGGTTGCTAAAGTCATTCTCTTTGAGAGAACCCATGCTGAGTTGTTGCTTTACTTTGATGGAAGAACCAAAATCTATTCCTTATCATCTACCCTTGAAACCTAAACCTAAGGAATATAATATTTACATATCGACCTCACTAAATTCAACAAGAATGAGCCTCAGAGTTCAAAGTTTTTCTTGCATCTTAGAGTTTTCCTCAAGTATGTTTATGATTGATAGTATTGCACACTTGTATTATAGCAGTATTAGTTTTCAATATGCACAAAACATGATAGATGAGATGTATATGAGAGGCACCATGACAAGGAAAACATTGATCTCTGATTATTGTAAATTGTATGCCTTCAAAGTTGAGTTACAATATTTCCAAGAGATGAAAAACTCTGGGTTTTGGTCTTCTCAATTTGCCCTTGGTAGTATTGCTACATCAAAGTGGTGTAGTGGAAGATTAGAGAGTGTGGAAACAGCTAAGCATACATATGCTAAAGCTGTGAAACGTGCGTTTGGTTGTAATCTTTGCACTTGCATTAATTCATTGCAAGATTAGCAATCTCCTTTGGGTAGTTTCAATGCTCAAGTTTGCAAGTCACAGAGGTGAGATTTTCTACAAAGTTATTTTGAATGAATATATCTTAGGACGTAAGATTAAAAGTGATCCAAGACTCTTCCCCCTGTGCTTGTTCAAGGTTTTAGACCAAGTTGATGTGAATATCATAGGTTGACCAGCACAAGATTGGACCATGTAAAGTAGTGCACAAGATTAATGAGAATGCCTACAAATTAAAGCTTCCCAACCATATTCATATTTCTAATGTTTTTAATGTCAAGCATCTCATTTCATATTATGGTGATACCTCAGATGACGAGCCACCAAATTCGATGGCAAATTCTTTCAAGGGGGACTTATTAGCCCAAAATACTGCTCTCGAGTATCTAGGACAAGAAATATAAGCTTAAAGTTTACAAGAGGAACCATATAAAAGCAAATTAGTCATTGAGTCTATCATTTTATGTTATTTATTCTTGAGTCGTTTTATTCGCTAAATGGCATAAGTAGTTTTAGAGTCTTTTATGTATTTTTATTCACTTAGGGCTTGTTTGATAACTAGAAGGTAAATGTTCTTTGGAAATTGGAAGTTCTTCTTTATTGGGAAGGAAGAAGTTATTTAAGGAAGTTCTTAGTGTATATGTTTGATAACTTGTTCGAATTTTAAAGAAGTTCTAGGTACATGTGTTTGACAACTATTGGAATATAAAGTCATGTTTATTTAAATATTATTAAATATTATATATTAAATATTATTTTTATATTAGACACAAAACAATATATTATATATATTGTATTGTAAATATCTATTACATACCTAAAATATTATGTAATATAATATTATATATATACATTATATTATATAACATAGTGTATTTTATATTTGTTTATATATAATATAATATAAATTCAAATATAAATAAATATAAGGAGGGAACTTTTTTTCTTAAACAGGAAGTTCTAGGGAGAATTTCTTTACTGTATAGCATTTGTGCATCAAACACGAAACTTGTACGGTGATGGAGAAGTTCCTTCTTTCTCCCCATAACTTCTTGTTATCAAACACACCCTTAAAGTCTTTTATAATAAAAGGTCATGATTATCTTAGATTAATGGCTAGGATTAAATCTTGTTTAAGTTTTTCTTATATAAGAGATATACTTAAGCATAATAAGCAGGGACTTTTATTCGAAACTCTAAGGCAGCAAGTGCTCATTCTTTTACTTCTTATTTTTTAATCTTTATCTAACATTGGATCTTCTCTATTTTCTTATTTGCTAAAACCCTAGCTCACAATACAAGGTTTGCACCTATTATCTTGAGAGAGTGATCATTCATGCCAATGATTAGACAAATTGAAACTTCTTTTGTTTCATTTATAATTTATTTTTACCCTGTTTCATCCTCTATTTTCTAATAAGAGCGAGAGAGATGAGGGAGAAACCAACTGTTGTGGATAGAAGGCTTAAGAGTAAAATGACAATAATTCAAACAACATGTCCCACACCTCCACTAACACACGACAAGGAAAGGAAGAGTTACCCAAATAAGTCGATGGATGTAGATGATCCTGACCCAATACAGTGTTTGCAAAATCGAATCAAAACGGTTATCTGGATATGGGACTGGAAGCGCTTTAGCCGGCCTAATCGGTAAATCGGCCTATTCAACCTCTCTAACCTGGGAGTCCTGGGCGGTCAAAAAAGTGTTAGAAAAAAAATACCAAATACAAAAAAAATCTACTAAAATATGAAAAACATATAAAGAATGATTAAAACAAAACACATTCAAATGAAGTTGAAAATTAATGAAAAAATGGATTTTAGCCCATTTTATATTTTTAAAAGGCTATTTTTAAAATTTTCTTAAAAAAATGGAAAAATATAAAAGTGAGTATTAATGACCATAATCTTTACCATAATATAAAAAATATTTAAAAATACATTACAAATCAAATTTTTTATTTTTTGAGAATTTATATATATATTTTTATTTTTTAAATACTGGATGATCACCCTAGCCCGGTTTCCCTAACCGCTCAAAAGACTATGATAGAAGTCCATATGATAGAAGCCAAAAGATTATATACACCTAGAGAGCATATGAATATTTACTCCAAAAATAAACTCCAGCATCCAAAGGAGTAAATTAATAAGGGCATGGTGTGCATGAGGATGTAATTTTACTTGTAGAAATAAAGTTGTAGTGTTCTACACTATCTATTTTAGTTGGATATGAAGATTTGACATGTCTTTAAGACCGAGTTAAAAAAATATCTACACCATTCAAATAAAATACATGATGAATGGTGTAGATCTGATATAAATTATTTTCATAAATAAATTATATGCATTCTATGCAATGCCAAAGTGTGTTAAGATTCAACAGAGACCATCTCATCAAAGTCTTTAGTAACTCGAAGTCCTTTTTCCATTCATCAAGTAATTATGAAGTGGATTCTAAAAATTTCACATAAAAAAAAGAGAAAATTTTAAATACACCATAAATTCAACTTTTTAGATATCCTATTATCCAAAACTTCTTACATCTCACTTTAAACCCCAATACTATTTTTTTTTATATTTATCTCCCAAATTAAAAAGTTAATAATTAAAAAAAAAATACTTTTATTTTTTCTCTCGTCCCCCTTTTGGAATCCCGTGACTCTCTCTCTACCTACATGCTCTCTCCCAAAGTAAAAACCCATATCCTCTCTTTCTCTCTCTTTCTCTCTCTAAAATCCTATATTCCACTCTCTCTTCCTCTCTCATTCTCTAGTAATGTGGTCCGACATGACCAAAGATTTTTTGCGTTCCGACACACAAAAGTGCCGAACCACAACTATTTCAGCCTGGCACTAAACTCAAATCTACCCGATCCGGCACTGTGCCGGACCACATTACCACAAATAAGAGAGAGAAAGAGAGAGATAGAGAGAATGAGTGAGAGAGTGGGTTTTTACTTGGAAGGAGAGAGATGGTAGAGAGAGAGTGTGTCATGTGACTCCAAATAAAATAGATTAGAGAAAGTAAAGGCATTCTTATCCTAAACCCGTTTACTTTTGCGAAAAGTTTATATGTGACTCTAAATAAAATAGATTAGAGAAAGTAAAGGCATTCTTGTCCTAAACCCGTTTACTTTTGCGAAAAGTTTATATAGAGCCTAGGCTCTAAACAATCAAATTAGAGCCCACCTCAAATTTTTCTAGAAGATATTGTTTCGATGCTCAAATATCCTCAAATTGATCATCCCGACATCAAGATAAATGGAAATGAGAAAAAAATGGATTTCAAGTTTTGAAAATAGTACAATATTTATTGACCGTCATTTTTCAAAAATTTCAAGTTTTCATAAATCTGTTCAATCTACACTATTTTTTAAGCTTTAAATTTTATAACTAAATATAAAAATATAATTTAAGGCTATCATAAAACTTTTCAATATTGAAACCATATTTTTCGACACTATTTGAAAGTGGGCTCTAATTTGATTGTTTAGAGCCTCGGCTCTATACAAACCGGGCCTTTTACTTTTTTATTTGGGGGTAAATATAAAAAAGTTTAAGATGTGATGCAAAAAGCTTCGGAGGGTATGATGTCTTGAAAGTTGTATCGGGTGTATCTATAATTTTCCCTAAAATATATTGCTTCTGAGTAGGTCTATCACTCAATGGACTAAATTTATAATATGCTCATGCGGAAACGCAAGATGCATACTACTAACAGAAAATTTATGTGATAAGAAGGACATTATCCAACATGACAATAAAACTCATCATAAAGAAACACTATGATTTATTAATTTAACTATAGAATACATATTACTCCACATATATTCATAATATTGTTACAAATTTTGATCCATCAATCGCAAGTCAATGTTTCTTGATCGATACAAGGAGCCGGGTAACTTTCCTCCACATTAAAACTCAGCTGCCCAGCAAGGAAAGCGACAAACCTACACTTACTAAGTCCAAGACCAGCCTTGAGCTCAGGAAGAGGACAATTACATTCAAGTATTCAAGAGACAGCAAAAGGAAACACCTTAGACACGAAATCCTGTACATGTATCCAACGTGAAAAATACTAAAAAAGAGCTCAGAAAATTAAGGGTAGCTGCACAAATAAACAGAGAAGGAGAACTCTTTTGAGAAATACAATTCACTCCATATTTTTCCAATACTTGTTTAGTTTAGCCACCAATATGTATCATGGGTCTGTTGCTTGTCTTTGCCAAGTCAAACATCCCAGCATGAGCAGCTTTCTTTCTCTTCACCTAATGAAAACAAATCAATGTTTCTGAATAGTGTCAGCTCAACTTCCAGAAACATACAAGCATAGACCTTGAACGTAATCGTAATCCATTCACATGCTAAATTTTTTAACACATACGAAGATTGCCACAAAAAATTCAAACTATGCAACAAAAAAGCATTCGCAGAGTTAGTGTCTAGGGCTAAGGCTTTAGAGTTGATCATATTCTGTAAATTTTCGTGTCCAAGAAGCATGCACTCAACAATATTGTGGTAATATGATTATACTCGTTTATGTGCATATCTCAAAGCCTATGAGAACTCAAGATTTGATTTGGGGTATCTGTGGTAGGGGTGGAACAGGAACCTTTTCCTTTCTTAACAAAAGTAAGAGTCGGTCCTGAGATTTGGGTGTCCCAAATTCTCTCTCTCTCTCT